AGGGAATTATTTGTTTAGCAGAGTGATGACTTTCGGGGGAAAAACTGTTCTTGTGTCTAGTTGTTCTGGTGTGCAGTGCTCTATAGCATCGTTTTGAGGGAAAGAGTTGAAACAGTTTATGTCCGGGATGTGAGAGGTCTGTAAATATTTTCACAGCCCTCTTTTTGACTCGTGCAGTATACAGGTCCTCGATTGAAGGCAAGTGGGTAGTAATTGTTTTTTCTGCAGTCCTAATTATCCTCTGAAATCTGTGTCTGTCCTGTTGGGTTGCAGAACCAAATCAGACAATTATAGAGGTGCAGAATGATAGACTCAATAATTCCTCTGTAGAACTGTATCAGCAGCTCCTTGGGCAGTTTGAGCTTTCTGAGTTGGCTCAGAAAGAACCTTCTTTGTTGTGCTTTTTTGATGACGTTTTTGATGTTAGTGTCCATTTTAGGTCATGTGATATAGTAGAACCTAGAAATTTGAAGGTCTTTACTGTTGATACTCTGTTGTCTAGTATTGTAAGAGATGATAGTATGGGAGGGTTTCTTCTAAAGTCTACCACCATTTCTACGTTTCTGAGTGTGTTTCAGTTCCAGATTGTTCCGGTTACACCACGAGGCAATGTATAACCTCCTGTCTGTATGCAGTTTCATTGTTGTCTCGAATGAGACTAATCACTGTTGTGTCATCAGCAAACTTCAGTATTTTAATAGATGGATCATTTGAAATGCAGTCATTGATATATAGAGAGAAGAGAAGTGGAGATAGCACACAGCCTTGGGGGACCCCTGTGCTGATTGTACAGGTATCGGATGTGATTCTGCCTAGCTTCACCTGCTGCTTCCTGTCTGTTAGGAAGCTTAGGATCCACTTACAAGTGTGTTCAGGTACCGCTAGTTGGTTTACTTAGAAGAGTGTCTGGAATGATGGTATTGAATGCTGAACTGAAGTCTACAAAGAGGACCCTTGCATAGGTATTTGGAGATTCGAGGTGTTGTCGGATGTAATGCAGAGCCATGTTAACAGCATCATCTGTCAATCTATTTGCTCGGTATGGAAACTGCATGGGATCTAACAAACTGGCATCAGTTTGTACATTTCCAATTTCCCAAGCACTTGAATTGGTTTTAATATATTGTTTAGCTTATGAATCACTGTCCTAATGCTGCTTTGTTTCTATGGTATTTTCATTTTGTAGTTCAATCAATTAACTAAACTTTATTACAACCTGTCTTTTGTTTGATTATAGTATATATGCTTTTATTCAGATTATATTTTAATGTGTTGTATTATAAAACAACTAAGATATTTAGTTATCGGATGGTTAAGATATTTAATATATCTTATTTTGTTCTTTGTCTTACCAACAACAGCATCCTTGTCATTCTATCTGGCTAATATTTAAGGCAGCTTTTCTTGGAGAAGGTCTTAGATTGAGTTACTTGAATGTTCAAAAGATACACATTTATGCTGAAAAATAAGTTGAGCAATATGTGTGTTGACTGTCATGATCTGGTACCAAGTCTGATTTTGAACAAAAGGGAACAGCAGTGCCTACTTGATTTTGGAAGATCTCAAAACAGCAAAGTAGAATCAGAGCTGGAAAGGATTTGAGTAGAAGGCATCCAAAGGCTATAACAGTCTGGGAACTTGATAAAACATTCCTGAAGTCACCTCTGTCTTGTTGACAAGAAAATGTCATGGTTGTATACATGTAGTCATGAGCGGTTTTGTGAGAGAGTTTATCCTTCCTTGCCTGATACTAAAACGGTTTTAATGAAAAACTCAAGTTTTTATTCTTTTTTAATATTATATTCTTTTATTTCTCAAAATACAAAAAGGATTTTATTCTTGATCTTACCTTTATTCATTTTTTCTTATAGGTTTTATGAGTCAGTGTTTGGATACAAAACATAATTTTTTTGTCAGTTACAGTACTGTTTACCCCTAGGGCTAAATATTTGGTGGGCCAGAAGTTACAAGGCTTTGGAAGGGAAGTGATGCCCTGAATGGATATAGCTGGTCTGTGGTTGCCTGATTTTTTCCTCCAATGTATTGGGGGATAATTTTTATTTTCTCATCTCCCCGCCCTCCCTATGTCATATATCAGGGATGTCCAACCATGGTAACTATAAGACTTGTGGACTTCAACTCCTCCTGAGAATTACTCAGCCAGCTTTCACTATAGCTTTCATGGTCCCTGTTTCCAAATGTAATGACTTTGTAGGCTACAGCTGGATCTGAGTTTGTATCATTACAACAACAATAAGGTGACTAAATTCACCCGGTTTTGTTCGACTCCTCATGTTTGCCAAACCATTATGAGATATTAGCATTTTTACAGGGTACAAACATCTGGTTTGGAGGACCTGTTTATTTTAATGTATTTAGATGCCAGTTTGTGTTTCCTTTTTATTATTTAATACTTGTTTGAACAACTTGCACTGACAATGGTGACAGACCAGATTTTCTACAGTATCACTGAATGTTTTTATACTGTTCCGGTTTTCCCCTTCTCTTTCAAAACTGTTATTTCAAATGGCAGGATGCAAGATTGCATGTTATTTTTGTTTTTACCTGTTGGCTTCCTCTTCTCTGTTCCTAAGCCAGCATTTAATCTGTTACAGGGTTTCAGGGGCAGCCAAGTTATGTGCAACATGAACATTAGCATTAAAAGGCTTTGAAATGGCGTGGGAAGCAACTGGCATTAATTGAGAAATGTCTTCAAATGACTTCTGAAACTTATTAGTTTGCCTGGACACTTTAAGCTGGTTCACCTAAAGAGAGTCAATATGCTTTTAAAATGTCAGATAATTGTAACCAGAATACAGCTGTTGCCTATGTAAATTTCAGGAACATCTGCCCTGGTTATCTTAACATCGTAGAATTTTCTTAGTTTTACTAATCGATGGAAAGAATCCAATATTGTACTTCAAAATGCTGAATGTTTTGCCCTTTTTCTAGGGCCTTAATTTACACTTGCTTTCCGCATACTGGCTTTTAAATCAGAGAGACCTTTTCAAGACAGCGCTGTCAGAAAGAAAAGAGAAGAATAAGTATAATGTGACAATGTTTTTTAAAAGAGTTAACCAACGAACACTCTATCATTTCGTGCAGCAATAATTGTATTACTACATACTCATATGTATTCTTTTCATCCTGGACTCTTTCTTCTCTGTTTGTTTGCTGCTTTCAGATTGTAATTCTACTCTATTAGGAAATACCTCTTGTACATAATCTGTGAAGTTCTTTATGCTAATATTGTGTTAGGATTATGGTATAAAATGTTAGTAGCACAATTTACTTGATTTTAGACTTTTTTTTTGCCCACTGTAGTTTGCATTCATGTTAATAAAACATCCATGGACCTTTACAATAATGTAGCAAAAAGCAATAAGCTCTCATTTCAAATTATTCCTGGGATATATGAAAAAGTCCCAAATTGTGGGGTTACTTGTCCATTCAGACTCACTATATCTATCTATCTATCTATCTATCTATCTATCTATCTATCTATCTAT